ACATATTTTAGCAAATAATTTCAGCAACATTATTCCTCAATTGAATTACGTACATACTGATAGATTTAGATCATGTCATTCTCATACTTCAAAAATCTTTTTTCCTTGGTGCACTAAAGCAATATCCTCTATGAGAATAATGGGTATTATATATCCTATGAGAGGATTCTCTCATACACAATGATGTGATACAATCTCCATCAAGTTAATAGAAGAGGAGAGAGAAACCCTTATGATCCTCCATAGCCTCAATTTTTATATGCTTATATATACAATCACATCTTATTATTATTTGTAGTTTTACTTTGATGTCACTCCATTGAGAAAAATACATATTTCTTTTCCTCCATTTAAAAAATTGATGTCAATGTTTTGTTGTACAAAGACTGTACTTGAGCTCATGGGCACTGACCACTAACAGACCCATGCTTCTATCCGAAGTACTCTGAGTAGTGCTCAATGATCTCAAGTGCTATGTTGTCAAGGTTGAATTATGGACCCACAACAAAAACGGTAGCAACTTTTTTTATGTTACTAACAAGTCAACTTGGCTTCCAATTGAGGGTACAATAAGATTTTTCAATATCAAGTGTAATGTTTTAAAGGGTGATGGTGGTTCACATTCTCTATCGTTTCGATAGGGCTTAGACAGATTAAGAGACATTTGCACTGACTTAGATTTTATAAGAACTCTGAAAAGAGTGCAAGAGTAGAAGATGAGAGGTCTAGACATCAAGCGTCTGGTACACATTGTTTTAAGAAAGAATATTGGATTGTTATTATGAGGGTTCAGGATCGGTCAAGCTTCTCTATTTGTACTCCAACCGATATGCAAAATGTTGTGGTTCAAACATTTATAATTCTTTTATAAAATGTTTATAATTCATTGGTTGTACATGTCAGGTTTATGTTGGATCTAAGATAACAATAACCTAAAACTGTACAATATAATTGTCTTGTTCGATGCGATCATAGAGCAAGCTCATCTATTTGAATAAAAATTAGAGCTACAAATTCAAATTTTGCTTGAAATTGGCGCAATTGACAAATAATATGTAATAGAGGATATTACGTATCTCTAATTAGTTTTAAATTTTTATTTTTTAGTATATTCCAAATCTTTGTTTTGTAGTTCACAAAACAAATTCATAATATTAATATAGGACACCACGTGCAAAGCACGTGCATTATGCTAGTTACTTATCAAATGAAGCTTGCCTTTTGGACCAAGTTTTTGGTGTTATACTCTTAATTTGTCATAATTTCTAAAAATTCAAGGATGTCCTTCCAACTTACATTTCTTTACAAATTTATATTAAGGGGCCAACTTTAAAACAACAAAATTCAACTTCAAACCCCACATTCATACAACTTCCCAGGTATTGAATTTAGAGAAATTCTCTCTATTGATCTAATACCTCTATGCCTCCATATACAAACTCCATCCTCAAAATACCATCTTTCATCTACCTCCTCTCCATTTAAACTCTCTGTCGCGCGAAAATCTAAGGAGTACTACACGTCGTATATCCCCATTCCTTAGGGATTCAATTAATTTCATCTTCATGGTCCTTTACTGATTTCCTCCTTTATTTTTTCATATTTTTTCCCACTTACTAAATTATAAGGTCCATTATTTGCTCTACTTTTTCATGAATACCATGAACATGAGTTGAAACAGA